TTTCCCCCCCCCCCCCCCCCCCCCATGCTTCCTACACTTCAAAAGAGGTGGTCACCGGCCCCTGCACTTTAAAAACTGCTCCGCGGGTCCTGTTATTATTATTATCATAATTATTTGAATTATCATTCATTGTTATTATTTTTATTATCATTATTATTTCTATACCATTGGGAGTTTGGGAGTAGCAATAAGACTAAAAAACAATTGGCAGCAACTTTAGGCATGTGTTTTAGGGGGTGTCTATAACTTCTCAGGAAAGTGTCTGTTAAGAGAAAGAATCATGACTCTTTTGATGAATATGTTCCCTACACAGCAGACATCACTAAAAAATCATTGCTATCTTCTTTGGTTTTGCTGAAAAGGGCAGTGATCTTTCTTTTGGATGCGTACGAATAATCTTTGAACTCAGCTTCAAAAGTTATTCCTGAAATGATGTACATATGACCATAGTTATTAGAGGAGACTGGTTATGAAAAGCGGCAAACATCAATGATCAAAACAACAGTGCTGCAGTTTATGTTGGAAGCACCCTGAAAGTGCACAATCCTTTATTTTCTGTTGGCAAATTGTTACAGAATAAATTAATGCAACGTTTTTATTGGTCAATACAATCAAAATGATAGGAATTCTTTTGAACGTTGTGCACTTTCAGGTCCACAAAAACATATAACAAAAAAGTCTGACGGGTTTCATAACCATTCCACTCAATTAAGTATGATACGACCAAATACACTATTTCCAAGAATGACTATGTCATACTAGTGTCTTACTGAACTTAAGTTGATCATTCATGGTGTTCCACATGCCCTTTTTTGAATGGAAGTAATGAAAAAAGTGCATCATTTTTAGTCTCTCTATCTCCATGCCAGCCTCCAAAATGCGATCACTCAGTTCCCAGTCCTCCCCACCCCATTTATCCTTGAATTCCTCAATGTTCATTCCACCTGCTTTGTCCCAGTCGCTCTTGTACAAACCGATCAATCCTAAACCATGAATCTCCCATCGGCCAAATGGCTGGCTAGGTGTTGCACCACAATCCAGGCGAATGAGAATGGGACTATAAGCAATCTTGTGTTGCACACAGTGCTGCAAAAAATAAAAAATAACAGAAGAACAAAAATAAACAGCTGCCACTATTCTGTACTATACAGGTTACCTTTTGTAATCACAGTCACCAGGACATGATAATTATATCGATGAACAATAGTTCTGACTTTCGTCTTCTGTGGAAAAAAATCCTATGGACATGGCAGAACTTTTGGATTTTATAACTTGCCTTTCAGTACTATATTTTAGCAATGTTCTTGAATTTTGATTTGAACCCTCTTCAAATTGAAGTGTTGGCAGTCAGTGCAAGTTTACAAGATTATTTTTTTAAGATCAACTATTTACAAAGATGAAATATCTACAGTTTTCCGCGATAGTGATCACTTAAGTTTGGGCAGGTAGTGTTAACATTATTGTTGAAAAAATTGTTGACTTGTAAAGGAGTCTAAACTTTCAAGTCCGTTGATATATTAACTTTCCCAGCAAAGTGATGTCTGAACAACTACTTTTAGGTATGTTTGTTATTTTCATTTGTTAATAAAAAGAAACATTTAAAAGGAATTTTCCTATAAATTTGAGCAAACTCTCCGACATTTTCCGAATCTCACACACAGTACTAATCTGTACTGGTCTCCAAATCTCTGGCATAATAAATGTATTTGAATTTTCCCAAATTTTAAAATTGTTTTTGGTTAATCTTACAGTTTCATGTTATGGTTTCTGGCAGCTTTTTATGAGTTTTTCTTGGTATTGTGGAAACCATTGTTGGTTGTGTATCGTACTGCGGTGTTGCATATAATTGGCATAATGTTCAGTCTTTTCAATCTTCAGTGTTATGTCATGCCACCTGCGATTAACAACAAGGAACTGTCTTTTTGTGCAGCTTTCCCGCTAGGAATGAGGCCAATATCCAGCAATCTTGACCGAACAAGTTTGGCCAATAAAGGATTTATCATGGCAAAAAGATACGTTTTTTTCTGGCAGAACCAATACAGGAAATCCCCAGCAGGCAGAGTGGCTGGCCATCTTACCAGCTTTGGCAGCCAATCAGAAAACAAGATTCACTTTATCTTATCTGCTCAAGGATTAAGCTTTATAATAAAGCAGAGGTGTAGCTAAGGAAAATAAAAGCAGCAGGGTTATCAAAAGTAGCCAGCTGCTGGCGAAAATTGCTGCCTACTTGGTTAGTATTGACCAGCTACTCTGCTTGGCATTTCTTTACGGATTGCATTATTAAATTAAAATATCCCTGGAATTGGCCGCTTACTCTGACAACTCGGCCATCTACTTCAAAACTTTGTGACAAGCCTGAAAGCAGGCTGGCTTTTTTACTCAACTGCATCTCTAAAATTCCCCTACATCTTTGTTTTCATTTGCAATTTGAGCTGGTGGTGAGCGCTTTTTCAGCCGGTGAAAGTAGCCGACAGCTGGCTTTTAGCAACACCCCTGAAAGATTGTTTGTCCTTAATTCATGACTACATTCCCCTAAAAAAATAGGTGATTTGGAGACTGGCTTGATGTGGGGGTGTATCAGAATGGGATGCTTTGAAAATGGTGGGGGGGGGGGGGGGGGGAAGGGGAGGGGAGAAAAAGGAAGTCAATGGTGTTTTTGTTGTGTGTAGTGAGTGGGAGAGTAGACTAAAAGAGGTGTGTTTTGTGGGTGGGGTGGGTGGGTGGGGTGGTATAAGAGGGGGATATGTGAGAGGGGGGGGGGGGGGGGGGGCCTGGGAAAGGGTACTGCAGAAAAAGAAAGTCATTGGTAACTCTGCTACTGTCCAACAACACTTGACATTCTACTGTACTAGGAGTCTCAGGGTATATCCTTGTGGACGAAATATTTATCAAAATAATATACATGTATGCTCACAAACCTTTCTAACATCGTCCAGGAAATGATAAGGGATATCAAGATGAAGATCCATAGCAA